CAAGCCTGTAGAAAGCAATTTCATTTTTTTCTGGGATGGGGCAGGAACAATCAAAATTTTTTGATATATAAGAAAAAAATGAATAAAAAATTAAAACATAATTGCGGGGGGGGGGGGGGGGGCACGACCGTATAGCTTTAAGCTATATAGTGACTAAGAAGGAATAACTTGTCATTTGTCAAAGTCTTTTACCTAAACTCTTCACTTTCAACTGTCAATAACAGATTCTTGTACAAAGTGAAAAGTATGCATTTATATGTAGTACAGGGTATCCATCTCATGTGCATAATCTATTTAATCAATCATTTTATTCTAAAGGGAGAGTGAAACCTCAATCAAAACTTGTCATAAATACTGGACTTTCTGATTAATTATAATATACATGTAAGAACGGATCGTAAATTAGGACTGCAGGTTTCATAAATTCACAGCATGCATCTTCAGCCTTAATTAAAACGTTTTTTCGAAATATTACACTATCTATAAAGCACTGTGTCTATAAAGCAGTGGCACCAGAAGTTTACAATTTTGATTGACAGGTGAAGCGCCGTGCACGAATTTCATGTAACTATGTACCAATAAGAAATGAAGGGATCTAAAGAAAAGAATTATTGTGATTGACATTGTAATTAAAACAGAGACAGTTAAGAGTAGTTTGGCTGTACTGGCCTTTCTGACATTTGAAGTAAAGTTTTAGAGTAACTCATCATTGAAATGAAGTTGTAAAAGTGTATTATTAATTATTTTCATTTTCATCATTACATGTGTGCTAATATGTTTGTTATATTCAAGTCCATGTATATGTACTAATTGTACATTTTTTTTCTTTTGAACCGCGCGTGCAGGTGGAATTAAATTATAAAAAGTTAACATAGTTCTTAAATGCATGACATTTACGTTACACAGTTCTGGACATTAGAAATAAATAAGCTTATAGTGTTGCCGATATTTTATCGCATGCTAAAAAATATGTATAACATAAAACATGTATTTTAAAAAAAAAAATCAGCACAATATAGCCTTTCAGATACTCATATATACAAATCAAATTACATATAATATGAAATATTTTATTGAAAAATTACGACCTCTTCTCTGTAAACAGGTAGACATTGAAGGCGAAAAGGGGCTCGAATAGCCGCCAGTTTTTTTTTTCTTCTTCGGAGAGCTGTACAATTATCTTGGACGACATATCGCGTACTAGTACAGTGTACAAAACAGCAGTGAAAATAAAAATAATGAACTCAAAGTTTAATTCTCTTCTCTCAATTATTTTTTGAAATATAATTACCAACCAATATACATGTATAAGTTTTTTTTTTACCAGATTGTATAAAAACTACACGTACTTGCCATATGCTGGAGTTACAAAACTTTAGTCGACAGAGTTTTTCACATAGCATGTTCAGAGCTGGTGTAATCATAAAGATAGCCATTTTAAAATGAAAATATATGTCAGAGTTTTAAGCAATGCGTCTTATTGTTTTCAAAATATATCTCTTTTGAATTCTTTGTCTACAAACCTTGTGTGTCAAGTTAGAATTATCTGCAGAATTAACCACACGCAATAAATCTCTGAAATTAAACACAATAACACATAACTGAGAAATAAATCGTTTATTAAATACATGTACATGTATGCAGTTTTAAGATTAGAATTCATGAAATCGGGGACCTTTATACGCCCTTAATAAAATGTTTTGGATTTAAATTAAATCAAATTAAGATAAGATTAAATGATTTAATTGAATGATCCGATATGATTTAAAAAAATAATTTTCCGTAAATCATTGTGTTAGCAAAATGAATATAGAACGACAATGTTTTGTGTTTGAGCAATAATAGCTGCTTCCTCGGCCATCTGCTATCGAGGGAAAGGTTACGTAATTGTAAACAAACACAAAACCCGGGATGTTTGTGAAATGCGGTTAAATGCAGTTAAAAATTGATTTATTTTTTGCTAACTTTTTTTAAAATTTAATATAGTGTATGTTTCAACATTAAACGACTAAAAGATGTTTTGTTTACGAACGCAGGTCTGGATCTCTTGTGATTTCCGCCACAATAATTTAATAAGTATATCACCAACTTGACCAACATAGATAAGATGAGATAATTTGAAGATCCGATATGATTAAAAAACACAATTATCCGTGCATCGTTGAGTTTGCAAAATAGATTTAGAAAGGCATTGCCTGTTTAGTGTACGGCCACTGATCACTGGATCTAGGTCACGCGTGATCGGTTACGTAATTATAAACAAAAACAAATCCCGAGACGTATTGAAAATGTGTGACTCAATAATTTGGAATGAAGCCACAGAACACGTAAAAACTCATTACAAAGTAATATTAGTATCTATTTTGGATAGGTTTATCATTTATAGCAAGTTTATTTCAGTTATGCGCATAAAGATTTCACCTTCACTTGTCTAATGAAACTAGTTACCTGTAAATGGGTCAAGCTTCTAGCTCATTTATTAAACAAGACTCGAGCAAAATAACAAGTTCATGAGATCAATAATATGTTAAAGAACAACTTTTAAGCGACAGTTATCTCGAAATATTTACTGTTTTTGAGTTATAAAACGAAAACTTTCAAGGACCCTAGATCCCTAATTTTAGGGACCAGCTCCTTTTTGGTAGTGCCAAATGAAAGACCTTAAAATTGTGCACAACTTTTATTCAACATGTCTTTACAAAATATTTTTAGTTTAAAAGATACATAGGAAAATATGTGTAAATTTTCGCGCTTTTAGGCGTTCTAATTTTTTACCCCTATCTAGCGCCATTTTGAACGCAGAAATAAAAAACAAAAATAGATGTGCACAACTTCAATGCTTCTATTATTCAAATTCAGTAGTATTTCTGCTCCAGCTTTTTTAGTCTCTGAGTCTTTTTTCTGGAAACGAAACCCCGAAATTTTCATTGAAAGGGAGATAACCCAAAAGCGGAAGTGGACTTTTGACGTTTGACAGCATTTTGATAGAGTTTTGTAACGTCTATAAACCCTGCAAATTTGAGCAAAATCCGTTGAGAAATGAGCGAGATATGAGGCCTCAAAGTTGGCGTCTAGAAAGGAGAAGAAAAAAAAAAGAATAATAATCTTAACCATCAGAATCAGTAGAAGGTCTTCCGTTGTGACGAAAGACCTTAAATATATTCAAAGTATCGACTGCAAAAAGTACAAATATCAAATGACTTTAAAGTTAAAGTATTTTTATTAACAAATGTCTGTAATTTGACCATGAGGTAAGCATCCATGTAAAATTTAACAAATCATATTCCATATTCTTTTTTCAAGCTTTCATCATTTTGTTTATTTTTGTCTATGAATGAAATATGAAGATAACGAACAGTATTCAATCTCGAAAGTCCAATAAAACGATACAAATTTGGAGCAGAGCAAACACGGACCTCAAAATTTAGAGGTGGGATCAGGTGTCATGGAGGAGTGAGCATCCCCTGCCGACCGGTCACACCCGCCGTGTGCTCCTTGTCATCATCGAAAAAAACGGAAAAATCCATAGACAGTTCAGTGTATAAATAATGGCCTAACAATTAGAATGAAAATCGCCAGTCAGCATTTGAATCAATGATAGATTGTGTGTGATGACAAGGTCATTGAATCGACATAAAAACTTGCAAAATGATGACTTCAAACTGGCCTGTTGATATCCTTGTTTCATCAACTTGTTTCAATAGCTTGCCTCATTTTAGAAATTGTTCATACGTAGAGCATGCTCTTGCCTATCGAATCAACTGAGAGACATAAATCCCGTATCCAGGTGATAAGGGTATATTGCTACATAAGTAAGGGAAGTTGACGATTGAAAAGTTGAAGTCATCATGTTTATCATAAAGCTTTGTTTTTAGGTTATCATTAATGTCTTTTTCAAGTAAAATATCCAAATACGAAACAGATGTGTCAGAATCTGTGGTATCTTTTTTTTTCAAGCTCACTAGTACTGGGATATATATCGAGTCGACATATGAATGAAAGTAACAATTGTTAATTGATAATACGTCGTCGATATATCAAAACGTCGGTTGAAGGCCACAGCAAGTATTTTCTCATGTTTAAGTTTTTTAAAATATTCTGCTTCATATGAACACATAAATAGGTCAACTGATAGGGGGTTGCATTTGGTACCCATGGGAATTCCAACAGATTGTTGAAAGACCTGATCTCCAAAATCCACATAGATATTGTCAATCAGAAACTCAAACATCTTTTAAATACCAACTTCAGAGTACCTGTGTGTACAATCAGAGTGCTTTTTAACCAAATAATATTGTAAATGACCACTAACAAGGTAAGTATATTCACGAGTTCCATTTTTATTGAAAAAGCAGCTGTCTTTGATGTCAAAAAGCCTGGACTTCAATTTATCGTGGGGAATGGTTGTATAAAGTGTTACAAATTCGTTTTGATGCTATTGATTTTAGTTCAATTTTGTGATTTTAAAATTTCCAAGTTCTTTGGATAAATAGTTTTCACACAGCCCCTCAATCGCTTAATGTGAGATTTCAACATCCATCTGATGCTCTTAATACATTCTGACAAAGTGTCAATGTCTTCTTTTTCGTGTTTGGCCTATCGCTTGGCGTAATCTTCCAGAAAATTCATAATATTTATAAAATTATGATGCCAGTTAAAAGAACAGGGTTCCCTAAATTTTGGCCCTTTTAAAATAAGGGATTTAAGGTCTTCATTATTAACTATGTTTACATCACCAGTAATGACGTGTCCAGCAGGACTATAGTTGTAGGGCGAAGAAGAACATGAACACATAGGAGGATTATGTATCAGACATGCGATATCTAGGCATTGTAGAGTTTTTCGTAATTAAAAAGTTTGGAAGCAATAGTCGATGTTTAATGTTAAGAAATACAAGCTGTGGACTTCAGCTTGAAATATGGTAGAATACGAAACTGGACCTTTTTGTGATTATGCATTTCTCTTGAATCAGAGGAGATTGTTATGTAGTAAAAACTTACTATTTAGTTGACGTTCGTGTAAATGGCAAAATGACTTTATCCATGGCTGTTCCTAGCCCAAACTGAAAATTTGTTGTTAGATTTTTTATATCTTGGGCTACAAAACATAGAATAATTCTTTAAGCATCTTATAAGCAAGGAATTCTCTCTCTCTCTCTCTCTCTCTCTCTCTCTCTCTCTCTCTCTCTGATTTTATTACCGGTAAGTCCAATAAGTTTGAATATAGAAATTCATTTTGATTAAAATTTAAAATAGATAAATTGCAAGACATACCAATTTCCCTGGCGAGTGTTGATAATTTTTCCTTTAGTTCGATCATGGTATATGAGGGATCATTCAAAAAGTATAAGTCCAAAGGAAAATTCTTTGCAATTTTGTATTGTATTTTGAGTCCTGTAAATTCCTTGTCTGAAAGATACCATTTTAAATATTTTATTTCAATATTCAATAGAAATAAAATTAGGCACTTCTACTTAAAATAATTTTTGGAGATTTTTTGCAAGAATTATTCCTTCTAATGACTTATGATATGAAAAACTTAAAATTAGATATATAGGTGGCAATTTAAATTTGTAAAAGTCAAGAGAAATGTTGGGTTTTTTTTTTTTACTTTTTACTGAATTAAACCTACAAGTTTTCACAAGGCTTTATTTGAGGATTGGTTCTTTTCATATCATTTATATTTAAAAATGATACAATTTTCACCTAATGAAGAAGACATATCACTTACTGATGGTATCTAATGAATTAAATTAATGTTGACCATTTTTCTTTGTAGAAGATCGATTTAAGGTCAATATATCTTTCCTTGCCTTTAGGATAAAAAAATATTAAGAAGAATCCCCTATCCCCAGACCCAGCAAAAACTGACCCAAGCTCTACATTTAAAGTGGGGTCTAGCATTCTTGTGCATTAAATATACTCATCTGTGTCCATTGGGAATTACGTTTTAGGCTAAATATGTATCTTTAATGACCTTGAAATTTCCATGATTGTAAAATCCTTCAGTACTTATGACAGATTTAGATCTTAATTAAGATTGTAGACATATCGTTCACTTTATCTCATTTCTTTATTATCAATACATCATTCCACTAAGTAGCCTTTATGTCTTAATGTGTTACTAAAATTTTACTATGCGTTGTTCTTTTTTTTTTCTTTTTTTTCTTTTTTTTTTGAGCAGTATAAATATCAGATAACCCAAATTTCTCCATATTCTCTGAATTATTTTTAGGAATAATTACTTTTTAAAAGCTTAATTCAATTAATTTTGTCTTATTTTCACTTACGATGGAAAAAAGACATGTAGAGATCCAATATGTACAAGACTGTAATTTGTTTGGAAAACCATAACTATTTCTAATATTAAAAAATTTAAATACCTAATTATGGATCTGAGATAGTACACAACAGATAGGCCACATTTTTCCTCAAATTCAATTTCTTTGAAACTCTGAAATTTTGTTCTAGGATACAAAATCTCTCTTTGCATGTAATTTGAAAACAATCAACCGCACATATTTTGCCCACATAGTTTGAAATATGCCCTATCAGACCCCTGTAAGAAGTGAAATCAGATATTGCACTTTAGGATATGCATTTTTTAAAAATTACCGATCAATCTATTGCAAATTTGTGTAATTCTTTTCTTATATTTAAGAAAAATGTTATGAAAAAATAGAACATACATAGCCCAAGAATTGAAAATTTACACGTAAATATGCTACACTTTGTTTTCTTAAGAGAAAATGTATGATTCAATTTTTACAAAAAATCAACAAAATGATTGAAATGGAACCCAGATTAAAATGTGTTAAAATGAGGAACATTGAACCGACAGTCTCAGATATTTTGGCCATTTAAAATTATATTCAATGCAAAAAATTAAAAGAATCAGTAGAAAAGTAGAAAACATCACAATATTTGAACTTTGGCCTCTAAATACCGGTATGACTTTGACCTTTTTTGTGCATAGAAAATGGATACTCTTTAAAAATATGTTCAAATATCAGCTCTCAGCTATAAACGGATTAAAAGTTACTTTACATTTAACAACAGTCTGCCATATTGCATGTAGATGACATAAACACATTCTAAAATTTAGGCTCTCAAATAACCAATATATAGGATTCTCTAAATTTTTGTAAAATATGGCAAAAAACGTGATACAGGTTATTAATTTCCTGACAAAGATCATTATATTGACATTATAGTGATATTATTCTTTTTTTAGTGTACTTGTAGGAAATTAGTTAAAATAGATTTCATGGGTGTTTTGTATTACCTTAATATTTACTCAGAAAACAATTATAATGCTTTGATTGTTCCAAACTGTTAACTAAATTATTGATCTGCAGTTCATTCAAAAATCAATTTATGTGATATTTTCCTACGCTGATTCTCCACTAAAATGTAGTTTCCTCTAGATTTTTATGCTCTGTTTACCATTTATGCGTCATGTTGTACAATGGTATGGTAAACAAAAAGGAAAAATATGATCTTTTAAATTCCTAACATCACAATTCGAAGAAAGAACATTTTTGCATATATACTTTGATTATTATGATGAATAAAAAATCCCTCCTAAATCATAACACTTATTTTTAGAGATCTGTTTTAAGATCACAAATAGAAGGAACCAATTCCAGGTTTACACCTACAAGTAAAAAGTTTAAGAAATGAAATATATGGAGATGACGAACAATATTCAAGCTCAAAAGTCCATATAACAATACAAAATAGGACCAGAGCAAACACGGACCTCCAAAACATCAGAGGTGGGATCAGGTGCCATGGAGGAGTGAGCATCCCCTGCCGACCGGTCACACCCGCCGTGTGCTCCTTGTCATCATCGGGAAATAACGGAAAAATCCGTCGGCAATTCAGTGTGTAGAAAATGGCCTAACAAATAGTATGAAAAACGTCAGTCAGCATTTGACTCAATGATAAATTGTATCTGCTAACAAGGTCATTATATCGACCATAGAACTTACGAAATGATGACTTTAAACGAGACAGCTGATATTCTTGGTTCATCAACTTGTTTGTCAATAATTTACCTCGTTTTAGAAATTGTTCATACGTAGAGCATGCTCTTGCCTATCGAATCAACTGAGAGATATATATCCCGTATGCAGGCGATGAAGGTATATTGCTGCATAAGTAAGGGAAGTTGACGATTGAAAAGTTAAAGTCATCACGTTTATCATAAAGCTTGGTTGATAGATTACCATCAACGTCTTTTTCAAGTAAAATATCCAAATATGAAACAGATGTGTCAGAAACTAAGACTACATGGAACTAGATTAGAAAGAGAACCTACTGGGAACTAGTCTAATTTTTACGTGTTGTGGCTTTATCTGAACAGAATCTTGCCGTGTCCCTCCATCAGAAAAGTCGTTGTTCTGAAAAGAAATAACATACCTATTGGAACTTTCAGTATGTTTAGAAATTTAGTATTAAGCAAAATCTTACAAAGATATTTACATTGCAGTGCTACAATAATATTTGCAAATTGTAATATTGTCCTTAAAGTTTTTGAAGTGGTCTTCCTCTGAAAGATTTTTTTACCGTAAATAAATTCAACTTTGAGACACACGTGTGCATGTTGTATATTTCTGATCATCTGATGAGTAGGTTTACGAGATTTATTCTTCGTTTTAATTAGTTTTAAAATTGCAAGGGCATAAATTTAAAGTTAATATCTTTGAAATTTTAGAATTCCATGGTTTACATTTAGCTAGAGCGTTTGAGACCGATATATTATTAAAACGTGTTTAGAAATTTCTTTTTGTGAAAAGCATCAAAACTAAAAACTTTAAGTAGGAATTCTGCGGTGAATTAATAAAAGTTATTAAAGCCATAATCAAGAAATTTTCATGATAGATCAAATCATTAAACTGAAGATAGTTTTAAAATAAAAACAGAAATTCAAAGTTTAAAACAAAATAACATGCAACGCAAGTGTGTCCATACCCCTTTTAAAGTACACACACATATATATATATATATATATATATATATATATATATATATATATATATATATATATATATATATATATATATATATATATATATATATATATATATATATATTAAAGAGTACCTCCACCAGCTTCATTTTATGGGCTTTTCTGGTAACTATGTTTGTGCAGTTCCCTGTCTTCAACTGAGATTCATTTGCACATCGCATTGATGTAAAATTCTGTGTATAAAAAAAGGCTAACATGTACATGTATTCAGTGACAATGTTATGCCTATCAACAAGAAATGAAACAAACGCTCAACATTAAGCCAGCTAAGCCTATACTTTCTTTTGCTTCTTGCTTTTATGAAAATTTGATGGCATTATTTAAAATCTATTTCAGCAAAACCATTGTCATGCAAGGGTTTTGACTCGCATAATAAATTTGGTAATTTCTCATTTAGACTCTCTCTCTCTCTCTCTCTCTCTCTCTCTCTCTTTCTCTCTCTCTCTCTCTCTCTCTCTCTCTCTCTCTCTCTCTCTCTCTCTCTCATATTACCGTGTCTTTACACCAGGAGCATCCGTCTTTAATGAGGCATTCTCCGCATCGGGATCCAGTGCACTTGCCATGGGTGATGTTGACTGTTAAAGAGTGTCGTAATAAGAAGTCATTGAATTACCTTAGTTTTCTCCAATTTTTTTATTGGTAATGTTTATCAAAAAAAATCATACGAGTTACATACGTTATTAATAACCTTCCTGATTACATCACATTTTATACTGCCAGTGATATATTCCTTTAGGGTCCTTATGTAGTTCTCCGAATGCACAGGGAGGGAGTAAAACGATGCTTTTTTGGTGAAGCATGCAGAATGATATGATGTATCAAGTTTGATCCAGAACTTATTCCCTATTCACACGGAGATTTTAATTTGTAAGTATACTTTTAAAATTTGAACCGCTTTCACATGGAGAATTTAATGCAATTAGTTTAATTTGAATATAATTTACTGCGCATCAAATTACTTGCATTAACTCCGTGCTAACGCTGAGCGAAGCTAATTCGAATGAAATTTTGACGCATGTATAATGGCAAAATAAATTTACATATATTACATATAATGGCACATTTTCATTTATGTTTAATTTTTGTTGTTTTCGAGGTATTAAGAGAGCCACGAATTCATGTCCACCACGAAATGTAAAATGTCATAAACATGACTATTCAACATTTCTTCAACAACATAAAATCCCCACGAACCCTTATAGTTTTCTTCAAAATACTAAAATTTGTCCCGACGAAAATATGTGAAGAACTACGCACGCTAACTCTCGATTCCCGCCTACATTTTACACCTACGGTATTTAATTCAATACTAATGGCAATTTGGCCGTAAAATCTTTGTTGAATGCAAATAGTTCAATGGTAATTGACTGATAATTTTAATGCAAGTGTTAAATAGTTAATTACCCCTAATTCCAGCTCTTTAAAAAAGGGAGGTAGACGATATTTTTCATTGAAATCGGGCTCTAAAGCATCACCACATTTTAAGATATTCTTGGATATGAATAAATGTTCCTTAAACCTTTTCTTATGTTTTACCCTTATAAAATTAAACATATATTATTATCTAAATACAATATTTCAGGTGTAAACCCCTTTGAAATTGGTGAAAAAATAAGCATTTTTGTAGTCTTTGTCTGTAGACTTATGCCCCCCCCCCCCCTTGAAACACAAAAAGCTTTGGTATTTTGTGAAATGACAACCCATATTACCGGTTAAAAGGAATTTTTGTTTCAAGGGGGGGAGGGAAGATGTTTTAAAAATATTTTCCGTTTTCCGTTGATTTCTATAGTGAAAAACACAAGTATCACCAAAATTATAGAGTTATCTCTCTTTGTTTTTCCAAAGAAGTAATGTTTTATGAAAATTCATATAAATATCTATATAGACCTGAAAATCATTCAAGTGTTAAATTTTGAAAATTGACTTGGAGATAGGCGGGAGAACAATACTTTCGTTTGCAGTTCTTTACAGTATCATATGTTCTTTGTGGTGAAAATGATTCTGTAAATGTCTAGAAATTTTCAGGACCTTCCTTATCTCCACTCTTCCTCTCTAGCTGTGCCTTTACTCATAATATAAGGATCGAGGAGCTGAAAGCGTTTCAATAACACATACAGGAACCTTTTCATAAGTGATACAATCGGTTTTTTCTCTGAATTGTTTGCTAAAGAAACAGAATTTACAAAACTTGAAATTTATGCTATAATGTTTACATTTTCTAATGTCTTTGTCTGAGATAAAACTCCAAATAAGGTAATAGCTTCATATCCTCATTAAGCGATTTGCTCACTACGTCACAGAACTGCATGCTTTCTCGCTGTGTGTTGCTTATAGTAATACAACTGGCAGGGATGCTGAAATTTCCTATTATTAAATATTTTTTATGGAATCAGGGTCAGGTAAAAATGTAAATGTAAGGAAAAAATATTTGGCGTTTTGTTTTTATGATTATGATCAACAGTTTGCTTGCGTGATAATTATACGCATAAAATCCTTTGGCGTTTATGCAAATTATCACGCGAGCAAACTTATTGATCACATCATAAAACAAATAAAACTAGACAGTTATTCCTTAATTTGAGTAGGGAATTATTGTTCGGATCAACTAGATGTATTTACTTTCCAGAACATAAAATTAAAACTGAAAAGTGTGTGTTTATAAAAAAAACATCTAGCGAAAAATCGACAGATTACACTTCGTACAGTCAAATATTACATTAATTTTAACATAAAATGTTGAAGTAGTACATGATAGAAAATAAAGTATTATATGCGATTCTGCTTTGGTTTAAAGTTTAACAAAGTGGTCTTCCTTGGCTTAATGTATGTAACGTTTAACCTTATAGTTCGTTTTCAAGGGATAAAGGGTCACAATTCAGACAAATATAATTTTCCTGTTGCTCTTCTTTAGCTTATAATTAATTACTGAGAAACAAATAGCGAATATATCTCAATGGAGATAGCGAACAGTAATCAAGCTCAAAATTTCATTGACACAATACAAATCGGGAGCAGAGCAAGTTGGGCAAACACGGACCTCCAAAATACATCAGAGGTTGGATTTGGTGCCATGGAAGAGTAATCATCCCCTGTGGACTGATCACACCCGCCCTGTTTAGAATCTATATTATTTACAACGATGATTATTGATTATTATTTACGGGGATACTTGTCCTGAGTTCTTTTTCATTATAAGGTGGAGATACAAGCAGGAGTGTTTTGTTACAGGGTTTTATATGACTGGGCCTCATGCACCTGGGGCCCGTTTCATCAAAGGTCGTACACCTAGTCGTAGCGCTACGCCGGCGTGAAGTCGGGACTAGCACCAAGATTTGCGTTTCATGAAATAGCGTATCTTTACACCGGACTAAAGTTAGGCCAAAATGTTACGTCTACTTGTGGGAAGGCGTAAGTTCGGGTGTTAACATAAAATAAAGCGAGTTTACTAAAGCCATTCCTTAAGAAGAATTACGGCTCTAAGAAGTCTTTTTAATACAAACGATGCATTATTTAATTTCAAAAACTATGAAGATTTGGGGGAGCGGAAACTGGGGAGGGGGGGGGGGGTTACACTCACTCGGGGAGGTAGTTGATATATACATGCAGTATTAACATAACTTTAATAAATTTCTTCATAAAAGATTGCTTTATTAGGGGTTCATTTTAACACAATCTCTTAAGTTTTGACAATCCCGAATTTATACACATTTGATTGTTGTATTTTGAGTATGAGGTATACGATATACATTTTGTGTCATTCACTGAAAAGGAACCTATTAAAAATGTCTAATTTGAAAAAAAATATTTTTCAAAACACATTTTTATTGAAAAAAGTATTTCTTCCACAAAAGCACAGTTATCTTCTTTAGCTATGGTTAATATCTATATTTAGATAAATTTAAATATAATTTTTTAACTCATCGTAAAACCAAGGAGGCTTTTTTAAAAACAACTTATCGTGCTCGAAAACTCCATTTCTTATTTACTCCAAGTCTACATGCGTGGATCTAGAGGGGTCAGGGAGGGGGTCCAGTCCCCTTCGCCGCAATTTGCGGAGTTATTTATGTACAAATCTAGAGTAAAGTAAGTAAAAAATAAAAAATTACCTTGAACTCCTGTTTGTGTTAAGATAGTGGTTGGTATGAAGTTTAAGAATTTAAGGGAAGGACCCCCCTCCCCCGAAATAAGATTATCAGGTTTGGGAAAGAAAATCATGTGTTAACAAGTTTCTCAGATGGAATGTTTTTAAATTGATGACCCCCCTAACCCCTTGAAAAAAATCACAACCCGAGCCTGCGTCCAGAAAAAGTTGTTAACGTTCAAAAGACAAAAAAGATTCCATTTATTTGTGAATATACTGGAAAGTCAATATATCCTTATATTGAATATAAATCAAAGAGGATTTTACCTTAGAGACTAGGGGCAGTAAGTCACTCGAAAGCTTCTGAGAATCATCTGTCCGAGAAACTTGACTCGGAAATGACTGTAATTTTACAATTATTACGCCCATGTATGACAATATATTAATGTTTAAAAAATGAATGATAAATTTCTGCCTTTTTTATCGGGAAAAATAAAAAAGAATCCGCATTTTTAAAAATAAATACTACAATTTTTAGGAACAAACGGAATGGCGTACCAGGTCATGCCATAGATTGATTGATTGATTGTATGTTGTTTAACGTCCCTCTCGAGAATTTTGAAAGCTGCAAATTTTGTCCTATACTCGGCACTTATGGCCATTGAGCAGTGAGGGATCTTTTTCGTGCCAGCACCTACTGCGACACGGGACCTCGGTTTACACGGTCTCTTCCGAAGGACCGGTCTCCACGTCCCACAGGGGGATTCGAACCAGCGACGTAAGGATCAACTCCTTACTTCGCGACTCTAGAGCAGACTCTCTAACCACTGCGCCACGCGGGCGACGGTCATGCCATAGAAGAAATGGGGAAAAAAATCATTTTTGCATGATGATGCATATTTTTTATTATTTTATCGATTCTTAATAATTTAGTAGTCCATCATATGCCCAGTAACATATGTATACAAGTACATAAAATTGAAACGGATTATTCCTCCCCTCTTTCTTTCTCTGTCTCTTTCTCTCTTCCTGAATCAAAATCGAGAAGGGGGTGGAATAATGTAAATATTCCAAAATAAATATTTTCTTTCCATTCATTTACAAGATCATTTATTCCTTTCCCAAGACCTTTAATTTTGGAGTTTAATCAGATGGTATGTTGTAATTAGTTAATATCTTATAATAATTAGATTGAAGATGCATGTTTTCTACAAAGTCCCTAAAATTCCTGTAATTTTTCTTTAAGTTAATATATATTTATGTGTGTTGTTCTACATGTACATACATTATACACAATACGTATATTTATGTTTTTCGCGCATGTGCAATACAGTGTTGTCAAGTACTTAGTCCTGAGGCTAAGCGTATCGTTTACGACTAGACTTACGCCACTTCTTGGAACGCTAATTACGCCCGACTAAATTTTAGCGTAAGCCACGGAAGTACACCTAAGTTAAGGCTTGAAGAACTGCGAACGATAGCATTGTTCTCCCGCCTACCTCCAAGTCAATTTTCAAAAGTTAACATATTTGGATGATTTTTCATATCTAAATAAATATTTCTATGAATTTTCATAAAACATTACTTCTTTGGGAAAACAAAGAGAGATAACTCTATAATTTGGGTAAAACTTGAATGTGTTTTTCACTATAGAAATCAACGAAAAACGGAAAATATTTTTAAAACATCTCCCCCCCCCCCCTTGAAACAAAAATTCCTTTTTACAGGTAATATGGACTGTCATTTCACCAGTTCATACCAAAGCTTTTTGTGTTTCACGGGGGGGGGGGGGGGGGACATATGTTTACAGACAAAAAAACTACAAAAATGCTTATTTTTCCACAAATTTCAAACGGTTTTACTACTAAAATATTGGAATTTATTAATAATATATGTTTAATTTTATTTGCGTAAAACATAAGAAAAGATTAGGAACATTTATTTATATCCAAGAATATTTTAAAATGTGTTGATGCCTTAAAGCCCGATTTCAATGGAAAATATCGTCAACCCCCCTTATTTTAAGAGCTGGAACTAGGGGTAATTAACAATTTAACACTGGCATTTAAATCATCAGTCAATTACCATTGAACTGTTCTTTGAATTCAACAAAGATTCAACGGTCAAAGTGTCATTAGTATTGAATTAAATGGGTGTAAAATGTAGGCGGGAATCGAGAGTTAGCGTGCGTAGTTCTTTACGACTTTTGATGAAACGGGCCCCTGGTTAACAAAACAAGTTCCTATTGTATTGAGTACTCGGTGCCTCACTCTTATTAAGGATTACTACACCTTTATGGAAGGGAATTACCGCCAAAAGTCTATTTATCTTGCTTTAATTCTTATTCTGCCTACTTCTTTATTCTTTGTTATTATTATTACTACATGTCACTTTATTGTTTTCATATTCGTCTTTTTTACATTTCACTTTGAACTTTTTTCATTCTTCATTTTGTCCTTACTTCTATGTTGCTTTATTCTTGTAAATTCGTTCTTCTTTCTTTTAAATTGATACAATTTCTTTAATAAATAATTAGGATAGTCTCTATTACAAATGTAAATTCATTCACGCAAACCATGAAGCGCATTCAAAGAAGACGAATACAAGTAGTGTGAATTTAATGCGGCATTATAACGCTAGGAGGCAGGGTGTTCGCTGCGAGTGTTTGTAAAATTAGGTACGCAAACCCGGGCCGAGGTTATTCGTGATTTTTCAATTTTCTCCCTTAATACTTTATCAATCGAACCCAAATTTTCAAGTTATGTTAGTTATAGGTTCATTTGTGTACGCGAAAAAATTGCCCCAAAATGCTCAGTATTTCAGATTTTCTCGAAGATATTTGATTTCCAAGTTGGTAAGATGGGAAGGCGGTATCAAGGTGACATTTTTAGTGTTTTTGTTTTTTTTGTTTTTTTGTTTTTGTTTTTGTTTTTTTTTTTTTTTGTTTTTTTTTGTTTTTTTTTTTTTTTTTTTTTGTTGTTTTTTTTACTAAAAGCTAATAAATCTATAAATTATTCTGATGTCAAATATTATATTTTAACTATTTATAAGCATTTCTTCTTTCAAATGTGTTTTTGTTGCTTTAAATTACACGTTTTAAGAAAATCTGGGTCATTAAAACCGGACCAATGAGGAAAACTCCGAAATAATTGTGTATTTTCTGTTACCTGAAAAATATAACCCTATTTAAGTTATTTGTTGAATGATTGAATTTCAGTTTTATTGATATAAAAAATATTAAATATTTTGATAATTACTAATATACCCAAATTACCCTTACAAATTGAGTTGTTTTTCAGGACCCCTATATATTCTTCCACTGAACTGACATTTCTTTCTTTCAGGATAATAACTGTTCATACGCAGTCGCCTGATTCTTGGGACCGGAGCTAGTCTAGTTTCGGCCAACCCAGAATGTTCTGCAAAGTAGTGCGGAACGTCATGGGTAGGCGTGGCCGGCACCAGGCTAGACCGGGGCATACTAGAACTTCCCCCGGTTTTTATGAAAACATGTATTAATTTTTTGGTATAGAAATAGCACTTTTCAATAAAGAAGTAAATATCTCTAGTAAGCACACAGTGTTTGAATCAGAATAACTCAAAAAATTATTTTGTCGATGTCTCGTTTGGCAAAAAATACATAAAATGTCGGCTTGATATTGCCTACCCATCTTAGCAAATTTGAAATCAAAAATCGCCAAAAATAATCTAAAATATTGAGATTTTCAAAATATAAATACATGAATATAAATATTGGAAATTTTTACAGCGAATGCAGATAAAACTTAGAGACGTAGTATTGTTTTTGAAAGGGGCAGCCAGAGAAAAAAAATAACTTACCTAAAAATCTTGACAAGCAAAAAACAAACATACAAACAAACAAACAAAAAAAAGAGGAAAAATCTTCGAACTCGAAAATTCTATTGGTGGTGGTGGTGGTGGGGGGGGGGGGGAGGGGTTGTCCAACTTCTTTCAGTACCAAATTTTACTCATACATCACTACGTACATTGCCCTTATTTGACTAACCTGCAACAAAAAGTGGGAGGGGGGCAACCAGACTTTCATTGAACATTTTCAGTAGTAAAAAGTTATGGCTAGAAAAATGGTTGGTGGCTAGCCCCCCTCCCCCCCCCCATGCTACCGGTGTCATATAGTGAGACTTCCCCCATAGTGAGTCCTCCCCCCGGAAGTCTGGCTATATAGTGAGATTTCCCCTCCGGGGGGAGGGGGGCAATGATTATATAGTGAGCCTTCCGTCCTAAACGACCATAGTGAGACTTCCCCTTCCGTGTTTGGTTTGGATTTTATTTACATGTAAATAAAATCCAAACCAAACACGGAAGGGGAAGTCTCACTATCATCGTTTAGGGCGGAAGGCTCACTATATAGTCATTGTCCCAATATTTCAATTGAATCAATATGAAAGTGCGCATTAAAAATTTATCGTGCACAGCAGATTATTGTATTGTTCCGAGACGATTCTTATCAAAAGAAAAAAAGACATAATTAGTTTAACAGTAAAGAGGTCATTACCCGTAGAAACGTGCAGTTTACCTATGTTTACCTGCATGGTTAAGATGTTTTTATCATAAAAATCACTATTAAAATGTTTTAATTATCTATTCATAGATTTATTTATCCATTCATATAGGACGGAGAACTTTTATCCAAATACTGAAAACGTTAGTATAAAAACATTGTTTTACAATAAAAAAAATATATTCGGAAACTAAATTAAAGGGGGAAGTTTCGCTATGAAGGGGGAAGACTGACTATATAGTGGGACTTTCCCCCGGAAGACTGGATTTATAGTGAGACTTCCCCTGGAGAAGTCTCACTTTATAGCTAGTCTTCCGGGCGAAGTCTTACCATCTAGCCAGCCTTCAGGGGAAACGACACCGGGTACATGCCTGAACCTATAACATACATCATTTGAAAATTTGGGTTCGATTGATAAAGTATTAATTAAGGCAGAAAATTGAAAAATCACGAATAATCTCGGCCCGGGTTTGCGTACCTAATTTTACCAACACTCGCAGCGAACACCCTGCCACCTAGCGTTATAATGTCGCATTAAATTCACACTACTTGTATTCGTCTTCGTTGAATGCTCTTCATGGTTTGCGTGAATGAATTTACATTAATTTTGTAATAGAGATTATCATAATTATTTATTAAAGAAACTGTATCAATTTAAAAGAAAGAAGAACGAATTTACAAGAATAAAGCAACATAGAAGTAAGGACAAAATGAAGAATGAAGAAAAGTTCAAAGTGAAATGTAATAAAGACGAATATGAAAACAATAAAGTAACATATAGTTACAATAATAACAAAGAATAAAGAAGTAGGCAGAATAAGAATAAAAGCAAGATAAATAGGCTTTTGGCGGTAATTCCCTTCCATACACCTTTTACTTCACCACAGTTCCTTGGCTTATTATCTGCCGGTACTCCGTACTTCTACCCTTGTCTTGATTCTTTTTCCCTTTATATTTCCAGTATTATTTGTTTTCTCTGTGATAACTCTTTGAAAGTTTAACTTAGTTAAGTTGATTTTTTTTATCATTCTACCGGAATGCAAATTTCGCCAAGCGAAAGGTCTGGAGCTAAGAAGGCCTAATATGCATGTAATTCTCGTGCGGCTGTCTTTGTGTTTGACGTCAGTGGGCAGGGACTATTGAAACTGACATGTAAGGCCTCGTGTAATTTAAATCTATTAGTCTACATTTTTAAAATCTCAATTTACAATTTTATTTCACATTGAAATGGAAATATAAGTGCCCTGGCATACTCCACTAACTAGTCAGTGATTCCTTAAATAATTTCTTTACTATAGGCCTACATTTTATTTAACAAGATAATTTTATATATATATATATATATATATATATATATATATATATATATATATATATATATATATATATATATATATATATATATATATATATATATAACGACAAATACTAATATATATGATTTTTTAACTAGAAGCTTATTTTAAATACAATCTTATTTGGATCGAAATTTTCATGTATAGCCAAATATATTCTGAGTAGAATTATACTTTCTGTATCAATCATTCATCCATGCACACATGCCTCTCTAAAGAATTTTAAAATACTTACGAAATGAAAACAAAAGAATCCCAACATAAAAGGCCCCTAGCATCTCGCTTTCAAATTTCTCTCCAGGAAATTAATCCTTTTTAGCGTGAGTATAGTATGATGATAATATCAATCTTTTACGTCCCATTTATATATTTCGCTTAAAATCGTTTTGGCGCGTCATAGCCTCACTTCTGTCTATGTGTTGTGTTTCACTTTACTACATGTATTTTTTAAATTCTGAAGAAAATGTTTCAAATAATTTTCTGTACTACACATTGGTATGTCAATAAAACATTACAAGATACTTATTTGTGTATAGTATTATAATAATATTTTTTATATATAGTGGATTTCGAGATATATATATATATATATATATATATATATATATATATATATATATATATATATATATATATATATATATATATATATATATATATATATATATATATATATATATATATTTCACTTTTGAAGTGGTAGCGGCATTTCTTTGTATGTCCGAATTCGCTACCGTATGCGACTGAACTAAATTATTTTAGGATAATAAACCCTTAGGCTAATCAAACAATGTTCATAAATACTAATCATTAAAGCCATCCAAAAAATAACAGATCACAAGAGGTGATAACAGCTGTGTACCAGGTGATAATTATTGTTCAAACAAGTGCAGGCCACAGACAACAACTTGTATTAACAGGTGTGGGTGACGCTAATTACAAGGAAACATGGACAATTCATTTTTATAAGTTTTTGATTTAAAAAAATATATACTTTGTTCTTTGAAATATGAAAAAAATAATATACATCCGAGTAACCGAGTAGCGATTTTAGTATTCGATACTCGGACGTTCGATCGAGTACCCGGTTAACCGGGTACTCGTTGACATCCCTAATATATATATATATATATATATATATATATATATATATATATATATATATATATATATATATGTGTGTGTGTGTGTGTGTGTGTGTGTGTGTGTGTGTGTGTGTGTGTGTGTGTTTAAATTTTTTACAATCTATAGAAAAAAAAATATTATGAAGAATTTCACTTTAAAGCAATCGATTGCAATTGCAGATTTCTCTCTTTTATTGAAACAAATTTCACTCTCCTCCCTACAAAGAGTGAAGTCATGCACATTATCAAATTAAAATCTATATTTATTCCTATGAAAGTGGTAACAAGGAAAACGAATAAGGATCATTCTAATGAATCTTACAAACATTTACAAATCCGGTTAAAAAAAAAAGGCCCCTAGAAACACAGTATTATTACGTACTTATCAAAGTTTCCAAAGTCATTGCTGAATACGATACAAAATCTCACTACATGCTTATGATGAACCAATTTTCTGACCCATGCACTTTTTCTTTCAGATTGACAGGCCTTATTTGTTTGATATATGGTAAATGTAGAATCTACCAAAGAATATTAACAGAAAGAATTTTTTTTTAATTCCTCGAATGACATTGTCTTTGTATATCATATCTACTTTAAACAAGGACGGATACAAAATGAATCTTGCTTTTCTTGACTTCCTTTTAAAAATCTTTTTAGTTGCATTCAGGAAAACTCCAGATTTTACTCTGATAATGCCGAGAAACAGGAAATTTGTCAAAAGTGAGCTATGCACTTGTGTGTACGTGACGGAGGCAGTTTTTTTTTTTTTTTTGAGTGGTAGAGATTCTGTACCAAGCTATATACACTAGACAAAATTATTAACGCACCACCAAAATAAATTAATATTTTCCTCTTCAAAACTTGTTTATGATGTTTTTGATATATAATTATGTTACTTTAATAAAAAATGAGGCATTTAAATTAGAATTAAAACTTTTTTCTGTATTTATAATAAAAAGGAAACACATATACCATTTCTATGAAATTGAAAAATATTTTATTAAGGTATAATATACTTATTAAAATATATACATATATAGAACTTATTCAAAATGAATCGAATCATGAGTGCTTCTAAAAGAGGCACTTTTCCATTAAAAAAAAGATTTGAAACTTTCTGGTTTAATTATCACAAACGCTTTGCTTTACAAGCATATATATAATAATGATAATGTTTTGAAATACAGCACAATCACTTAAAAACGCACACTCTTAAAGTACACTTAAACAGCTACATGTATAAATGAAAAAAAAGAAAAGAAAATATGATTGTTTTACACTTATATAACATGCAAACAGGCTTTTTTCGCTCCTTTTAAATAACATTCAATGACGAGTTATTCAGATATAACAGTACAAAGAAGATATTTACAAAGCAAACAATAGAAAACTCTCATATAAATGAAAATTAGTAATCAAAAACAAAACAAAATTAATACATCAAACCGATTTTTGAATGTTTCATGATATTGATATATTTTTTTTTTTGTCAAATGAAAATAAAAGTCTGCAAAACTTACATGCACTGTGATGACATATCAAAACGTATCAAACAAACATTCGTGTATCAACGGAAATGGGGAAAAAATAAAATGGACCCAATTTAATGTATTGCACATTTTGGCCTTATTGAATCAGTTACACACTATTCATGACTATCATTCATTATTATACATGTCTTTTATCACTTGAGACACTTTTCACTTACATTAGTCCAAGTTCATACAAAATATCCAACAAATACATTCATTGTTGTACATAACATGGTTTTTCAAAATACTGCTGAAATTTTCTGACTCTAAAACATTTTTACCAGTATCTCTTAACCGGTGCATTAACTTGGATTTATATAGTTTCCTTTAAGAAATTAGTGACTCTACGATTAAAAAGTAAGATTAATCATTTTTATACATTTTTACATATAATCAGTACTGTGGCTAGACATGAAGAACTGTGCTGATTAATATCATATTCTCATATATAATCTCATAATTATATAAACCCGTCTGTTATATATCATTATGCTATTTTGCGTTGGCTACAAAGCATTGTAGTAACAATGCTCATATTATTTTAATTACTTATATATATATAAATATATATATATATATATATATATATATATATATATATATATATATATATATATATATATATATATATATAATCATTTATCATCAGTGTATGTCCCTTTCTTATCTATTTGCTGGCTTCATAAAAACAAGCTAAAATATCTCGCCATACGTATTTGACCAAGATAATTCTTAAACAGGTAACTTAAAAGTAGGTTAATTGATCTTTCTTAAGTTCTGTATCCTTATACTAGATAAACAGTCTGATGATTTTCGCCTTCGTCTTCAGAATATGTGGTTCTTACGAATTTTGGCCATTAAAGTCTTGACATCCTTGTCACATTAATGCCTTTTCGTCCATGTTGCCATGGTTGAACTCTGTTTCATGCATAGGGTTTTGTACTGTCGTGACACACTCCTTGTAGATTGGATTTTCAGACTGTAGAAGAACATGAATTTAAATGAAATATTACACCAATTCCATTTTTAAGACGTAACTTTTTAAACAATACAAAAGACGATGAAAGTAAAAGTATCAATTGAGATCTTCAGTTTGAAAACATGATGTACGATTGAACAAAGTTCACGCATTATAAATGCTTTTCTTATATTTATATATACAATGAATGTCATATTTTTAGAACTCTAAAATGTGCAGAATTTTGGGTGAGTATATATATATATATATGAGTAATATTATAAAGATGTGTACTTTCCATTACTGTTTACCGAGCTGGACACTGTTATTTTACATTTGATTCGAATGTAAAATTTAGAATTGCAGAAGGTTTTAATTACCTTTTCCCAGGCTGGATTCTGAATTTCAGATTCAAATCTGGAGTACTCCATACTATCATATAACATAGTTAATAGCTTCCAGATCAGTAAAAGCAATAGGCCAATGAGGAAAATGGCTCCAGAAATACTGAGTCCTATCGTCACGGGATCTGGTGGTCCTGCAGGACATCCTTCAAGAGGAAAAGTCAATTAATAAACAGGTATTTTGTAACATCACAAAACAGCGACAATACTATGAACCAACTACACAGTATCATTCACATAAACTTTTATTTGAGGTTTGTCAGTTTGACATCCATCTGCAACTATTAATTTTCATGACTGAGGAAACATTCTACATAAGTACATAAATAAAAAAAACGATTTTCAGCGAGAAATATTTGCGAATAAATTGAGTAAAATAGCTCACAGCTATTTCTCATACGCGAATAAAGAAAGTTTACAGTGGTTGCAATTTTTGATGTACATTTTTCACTGAAAAAGTATATAATATATGAATAGCACTCTCCATACTTACTCTTTGTATCTTTGACGACAACTTCCTGTCCAGCTTCGCTATCATCTTTGCAAAAAAAAGATAAATTATTGCTAATAAAAAAGCTATACAAATTTTACTGATGGTTATTTTTTATTTTAAAACTCATTTAATTAACAAAAATGTTGTTTCGCTTTAATTAATTACAGAAACGTATACAGTTATGTGAAAGTGATGGTGCAATGATCTTTGTGACTTACAGACATTAAAGTTTATAATACATCCGAAACTGTCCTCTATGATACAGGATTTTATTGTAACAGTGGCATTGTCACCTTCCTGAGCTGAAATTTCAAATGATTGAATGAATGCATAAATGTTATTCATCATCATGGTATTTTAATGTTGTGAAAGGAAACATGATATAATGTATCACACGTCTGTTTTTAAAATCAATTATAATAACAAAAATTTCTCAAACTGTTCATCTCTCCAGCTACCGTACGCGTGCACTTATTCTTGATTCCTTTTCCTGATCACTTTTTGATGCATTTTTTTTTATCTTGGGTACACTCACTTTAAGGATGGCATCAAAAAGTAATTTACTAAGTTACAATTACTTTGACTTTTTCTTCAATTTAATTACAATTAATTTTAAAGTTTTTAAGACATATAAATAATTAAAGTACAATCACTTTGCGAAAGTATTTAATTACAAATTACGTACATTTTTGACAATTTTTGCTTCATGAACAAATACAGAACACGATATATTATGTTTAGCTTCGGGGCGAACTATACAAGAATGAACTCAATTTTTATATTGTGTTTTTATTTTTTATCAAACTTTAAGGAACTACTTATAGTTTAACACTTTTTAATGTCAGTGTGCTTCCTCAACACAAGAGTTACATGTGTAAGTATAACAACTGTTTGCCTCATGAAATTTTATTTAAAGCAGGATTTCAAGAGTTTTTGAATCAAACTTTACAAAAAAATCTCAAAGTATTTCATTTGTATTTCTTAAACCTTGAACTGTTAATGTAAGGATTTCCTTCTGTAGTTAGATGGGTGTGATCCCCGAACATCTACTCGCCAAAACCAACACCCAATTATCATACTCAATCAAACTTAATCAAATTACAATTACAAGTTATTGAAAGAAATGGTCAATTACACATTACCTCCAATTTCCTTGAAAAGTGTATGATTACAATTAACTAAAGTTACTTTTTTTCAATTACCCTATCCCTGACTCACTTGCTGGTTCCAGTAGTGACGCAGTCTTGACGTTATAACAGCGATTTTTACAGAGGGTACTGTTATACTTTCCTTGATTGAAGGCAACACATTCAGCGCAGTCCTTATTGTTATTACAGATACCAGGACAACTCTGCAGCAAAAAATAAATATCCGAATTGTACCAAAAAATAATTCTAAAAAAAAAAACTAGCAAAAACACAAAATGGGTAGAAGAATGAAGAATAAGGTTTTAGGTAAATATACCGTGCAACTGTTACACAGTGTTCCCCGCCAACCGGTATTGCAACGACAGCGTCCACATTCACACACGCCATTACCAGAACAAATAGTCTACAAACATTACAGATAAATATATATACCTTAATATATATATATATACCTTAATTCATATCAAGAATTGACATAAAACAGCACAGTTATAATGCTAGCTTTAAATTATTTTACGTTTTACAACTAAATCAGGATTCCATATGCCACGTGACCTACCGTATGTCACGTGGCTTACCGTGTCGAACAGTTTATTGGTATTTACTTTTTTCATCCATGGCAACTACTTTTTCAAATACTGAATGGCAATTTGCAAATTATCCTCAAAACTGAACTAAAATTGTGTTGTTTAATGTTTGGTGACAGGAAGTCTTTATGGATGATAGATCACAAATAGCCAATAGGCCACATTTCCTACTTGACAGACCTTTACTCTGCTTGAAAAAAAGAAACTTTCCAATTGTCACGTGGCAAGTCAAACTTTGGTACGGTGATCCTTTTAGGGGTACACACTTGTCCTAGACCTTATGACTTAACAAAATTTGAATTTAATCTACATAACTGGATATTCATTTTATTTAAGGAATTTGAGTGAAATGACCTATTAAATCTTTTGTTCCTATCACCCCCTCAAATATTTTCATTTAAACCTGTTTCAACTATTTTATCTACATGTACAAAGATTATCATATTTGTCTTTTTCTTTCTGAAAAGAAGAAAAACATAAGAATCTGCTGGCAAATTTTACAATTGTTTCGACTTCATACAGGGATTGATCTACGTTGTACATTGAAATTCTGATATTTTCTTTCCTCAAATTGATACCGTTGGAGGTCATCTGATTTGATCAAACTTACCCCATTGTTATTTTTACAAGGGTCAGTGGAGGTCAAGCATTCACAGGCATCCCCGGTATAGTTTGCATTACAGACGCACTGTCCACAGTCACAGCGTCCATGTGATGGTCCTACATAAAAAATAAAGAACACTTGATACAAAAGGAAAACGGATGCATGGATTGGTATATAGTTTGAGAATTATTGTGGTTGTAAATGATACAAATATCAAATCTCTAAAAGATTAAGAAATCGTATCTTTCTATGATGTTCAAATTTCTTTCTTTTTGCCATCATCCTTATAAATTCTAAATTCTTATCATTTAATAGGACATTATTGAGAATGAAAAAATGAAAAAATGAAACTTTTTGTGGATGAATTTACTTACATGTATATTACTTTTAGAAACATAGATTAAGTTGTTCTTTTCATGCTTTTTGTTTGTATCATCTGTCCTTAAATTAATCTTTTAAAGAACATAACTATCTCATACTAAGTTTTAATCAAACTATACACGATACTGTTAAGTACTTACTTATTTCTTCATTTTAAAAAACTTAATCAGAAATTCTTCATTATAAAGCTACATCAGAATATCTTTTCATTTACTTTTTCCTATACGTGAAGCATATGTAATTTAACAAGTGGAAGCTATCATCTGTAAGCTATTGTCGTGTAAGTTTGATTTTGTTGGTGGTGATGATGATTCATAAACATATTTTTCAAGACATAAATCTTTACTAAGCTACATGTATCAATCAATCAACATACCACCACAGAGAAGTTTGTTGTAGGTCCTACAATTCTCGTCATTACATTCACATTTGTCTCCACTGTAGCCTTTGAAACATTCACACTTCCGGCATGTACAATTTCCCGCGTTATTACAGATTCTGAACAAAATATGACAAAAATATCACATGATCAGTTTAAACACTTTCTTTTCTAATTAAATATGTATTAAAGAACTAAAAATAGAACGCATTTGCACTTCCCCGGTGACTTTGGGGGAGACAATTGTGTTTTACACGTATATGTGTTTGTTGGTTTATTTTTGATCCCATATATACACAAGAATACTAATAGTAAACTTGGAAACATGCATACACAAACACAACTCTCTGTAGGTACCAGTTTTAAAATATGGATCTTTCTAATTAGTTGTTCATTCATCTATTAAATTTGGATTGAAGATAAGAACACATGAGTATACCTGTTTCCTCTCCATATTTCTGTGTTTTGTTAAAATTTCTTAACTTTATTAATTATATTCAGACTGATATCACCGTGAAGCTTACCCATTATCTGTACCACATGCTTCCTCTGCCGTCCCTCGATTATCACACTCACAGCTATCTCCTATCCATCCAGGGTTACATTTACAGATCCCACACTCATATGTTCCATTAAAACTGCATTTAGCGCTATTTGGCTCCTACAATTTTCAGAATAATTGTTAATTAAGTATTTCATATATGAAGAAAGACCTAACAATCGGTGAATCCTGCAAATAAATTTTAGGATATCATTTTTCTTCCTGATACATGTAAAAGTAATTAAAATGGCAGGAAATATGGTTAAATATCAGAAGTATTTAACTGTATTTTTGAAGTATAAATCAGATTTTGCCAGCAAGTGTGTTTTCAGATTTTAATACAAAACTCATATTATGTGTTTTCCCAGAATGCCTTACCATGAATTCGAGCATGCGCATAACAGTAAAAAAACTCTAGTAGCTAGTTGCTCGCGCTCAAGAACACTAGCAATCACAGCCTGTGTAACAAAAAACATACCGCTTCCGGTTGTAGCTGGCAGTCACAATCACACACATGTTCTACGTCTACTTGAACACGCTCCTCCAGTCCCTCAGGGAATATGGTGAAGGTCAAATTTCTATTCTCTGGACACACGGTAAAAGTAGACTGTATTACAGGTGTGAAATTCGCCTAGAATTGAAGAAAAATATATATATAGAAGAAGGTCCTTTTAATTCAAGATATTTTTAACTGTTTACAAAAGAAGACTCTTGATAGTTTTTAATGGAAAATGTTGCATTACGAAAGAAACCCATTAAATTTTATGTACAAATATACTGATTAAAATAATTGAAATAAACTGACAATGTAATTTCGAAAGCCTTACCCATTTCTCTATAGTAAGTCCGGAACAAATATTGGTTCTGTCTGGCGATCGTCTGCAAAATCATAAACATTTCTTCAATCTTTTTCTTTATCATTAACATTTTTTGATACAACAAAAGGAAATCTACAAGATTTAAAAGTATGACTTCAAGCTTTTTAAAAACCTATGTACAGTAAGACATGTCTATACCAAAGAGGGATATTGCAAACAAATTAATGCTTCCTCGCTCTTAAAAATCATGGATATATATTTTGATAGAACGAATTACATATGTATATTCAAGCAATTTCAAACTCAATGCAAATATGTTAAACTGTTGTTTACTATAACTTACCCTCCTAAACTGTTGTTTACAATAACTTACCCTCCTAAACTGTTGTTTACAATAACTTACCCTCCTAAACTGTTGTTTACTATAACTTAGCCTCCTAAACTGTTGTTCACTATAACTTACCCTCCTCAACTGTTGTTTACTATAACTTAGCCTCCTAAACTGTTGTTTACTATAACTTAGCCTCCTAAACTGTTGTTGACTATAACTTACCCTCCTACCCTGTTGTTGACTATAACTTACCCTCCTAAACTGTTGTTAAGTATAACTTACCCTCCTAAACTGTTATCTACTATAACTTACTCTCCTAAACTGTTGTTTACTATAACTTAGCCTCCTAAACTGTTGTTTACTATACCTTAGCCTCCTAACCTGTATTTTACTATTACATACCCCACTAAACTGTTGTTCACTATAACTTACCCTCCTAAACTGTTGTTCACTATAACTTACCCTCCTAAACTGTTGTTAACTTTAGTATAACTTACCCTGCTTAACTGTTGTTAACTATAACTTACCCTCCTTAACTGTTATTTACTATAACTTACCCTCCTAAACTGTTGTTTACTATAACGTAACCTCCTAAACTGTTGTTTACTATAACTTACCCTCCTAAACTGTTGTTCACTATAACTTACCCTCCTAAATTGTTGTTTACTATAACTTACCCTCCTGTTCTACAGTTTGTGTACATGGTGACATCCAGTTCAGGGAAATCTTCGTTAACTACTAACTTAACAGTCTCACGTAGACGCTGAAACAAGAGAAAGAAATTTTCTTCAATTCAATTGTATTGAAAAGTAGAACACATTTATAGTGAAATGCCAATGACGAACAAATTTGGTTCATTACATGTCTTTCGTTAATATCAATTTTGAAGTAAGTTAATGATTTAGTTATTTATAAGTTTTATACTACAGAGAATGAAAACATAAGCTTGAATTTATTAAAAGCGTGTTCACTTAAACCGTGTTTTACTGAATTCCCTTGAAAGGCAATAAAATTAACCATGAGATATCAAGGATATATGTCTGAAATACGTAAACATGTGTTTGAAAGAAATTCTTTTTTTAGGATCGAGTAGGAACAAATCCTAGCCACAGTTTATCACCAAAATTGCATTTTTTCATGCTTTTATGAAACGTTTGTAAAGATTAATCGTGCTATATTTTAGGTATAATTTTCAAAAAAAAAAAAAAAAAAAGATGGCAAAAAAGTGATCTAAGACCATCGCAAAAAGGAAACACAGAAAATTGTGTGATTAGAAACAAACCTTTAGATAAGAAACAGAACTTTTCATAAATATGCTTATAAATGGTACAACTTGGTCCTCTTTAAGTTTTGTTCGCAAACTCATAAATTACAAGAGGGAACCGTGGTTGTTATCGAAGTCAATTTTGGCAGCTAATGCTTTATGGTTCCTACTGTTGAACATGAAGTTCATGAACATGATCAATATTTTGCTATAGAGTTTGATAAAATAATGCTGTCTTTGTCCAATAAAATTGTTAATTTATACGCTACATGTATTATAGGATGGAAAATTAGTTTTGCTCCAGAATTGTGAAAATATTATTGCAATTAACATCTGTAAATTTTATAAACGTTCTCTATCTTCAATGAAGAATTTTGATGTAAAATTTGGTGTTTGAAGCAAAACGTATTTTCAGCAATGCATTACACTGCAACAGTCATATAAGGTGTGCAAACGAACACATTAGTTAACGTACTGGGGCATACAGATTGAATTCTTAAATTCATTTGAATTAAATTGAATTATTCGATACACAAGAGCATGCCCTGGGGACGATCAAATTTTAAAGAGGCAGGCTACCGAAAAAGAAGTTAATGTTACAGGGATTTGAAAATCATTGTTTAAAGACAGCATCTTAAAAATCACGATCTTCTAAGTAAATACAACATATCGAATGTTTCATACATGTACCAACTGAGGTCATTGTTTTTATACTAAATTTGACTACGGATTATACATAAGCTCACGGCGGGTGTAACAGGTCAACAGGAGATACTCCTCATTGGCACCTGATTCCAACCTCTGAAATTTCCAGAGGTACGATTTTTATGCCTTGTTCACAAATTTTAATTGTGTAAAAGGTTTTTGAGATCGATCACTATTCGTTTCGCCGCCTTTTTCAGGCAGATGATAATAATAATATTGTTTGCTTCTGTTTAGAGAACACCTCAGATAACATGTTGTTGAATGTATTCTACATTCTGCAAATCAGTCGGTTCTATTCATTGCGACATGCAAGTTGTATGTAATGATTGAAGAGGTCCAGTACTAAGAAGTACAAATTTATTCTATACTAAGATCTTTCACAAAAGCTCTAAGAGAGTGTCTTGTTGCAATAACATCTCCATCTGTATTTACCCTATAATTTTCACTGACGATGTTCAGGATATTTCTTGCATCTGTAGAGAGCTGTGAGGCCCCTGGTGTACCCCCTGGTAGCAGTTGAGCGAGTTTATCATAATATAGATTCCGAACTTGCTGATTGGTCAGTTCAGAAGAATTTCCGCCAATCACAAAGATAATATTTATGTTGTTTTCTTTGGCTTTTTGAATGATTTGACCGACTGAAGGATAGTCCTGAAATTCAATTTTTATTAAAACATGGCCCTTGAAAAAAAAATGCAAATAATACACTGTAATTATTTTATAAATATTTCTTGAAAATTGTGATCTACGGTCAATTACAGGTATGGCGTCATTACAAAATATACCTGAATTTCAGCCTTTGTATAATATCCGGTGTTACTTAGATGGCATTCCCCATCATTTGGTTCAAGGATTCCAGCTAACTGTTAACGCAGAAAAGACACAAGGGATAATATTTAATTAACACTTTTAACTTCAATTGCTTGCTTTGCTTCTTGCTATTTGTCTTCATTCCTAATAAAAGTAACTCACCCGTCCATCCCCAGCTTGATGAAAGTTGATATCTGTAGCGTATAATAACATTCTCCTGGCTTTGTTCCTCCATCCAATTTTACTCTTCAAAAAAATCTTTTTTTTAAGGAAGCAATTTTGTGATTTTTTTTCTTTTTTGATTGAAATTGGACAAAATCATATGTATAAACTTACATACTTCAGATTTTTTTTAAAGAAAATATGATAGTTAGGATTTATTTCTGTGAACGACGGATTCCGTCATTCAGTGAAAAAAGAAAATGCTCGCTCCTAACACCAAGATATTTGAAGCCCAGTCCAACAGAGGGACACGCTGAACAAATCTTCAAAAATGATCTTACCCCACACACCATAGCTTGCATTAGACCATCAAAAAGACCTTCTGGTTTGTCAAAGTTTGCCGTGGTTCTTATGCCATCTACTGCATCCTAAAACAAAATTACATTCTGAATCGATCTCTAATGTTGGTCCTGTATTAAGTGAAAAACTTTAAATAACTTATAAAATGATTCATTTCTGATTAAATCATTATCAAATTTTAAAAATCCTTTACGAAAAAATTAAAAAAAAATGTTGTATGTTTAAGGTAGATGTCACTGGGCCATAGGATAAGAATTTTACAGGAGGAGTTCGTTTATCATCGTGACTTTTGGGTTTACAACTTTGTTAAAGATAACAAAAGCTTCATCGAAGGGCATCAGATCAAAAGAACGTAAAATTAAAATTTTGTTATTTGGGCTTGTTCTCTCAATTAGATTTTATCGTAATTTTACTAATGTTACATTACATTGTACTTCCAGAACTTTATTTTGCTTTTAAGGTCCGCAATATGAAAATTATGAAAATTTCCAGTGTAATTTTTGAAAGAATATTCTCTCTTCAAGGTTTACACATTTTCATACACATCTAGATGACTAGCCTTGTTCGTGCATGGTCATTTATTTTCTTCTTCTCAAAGATTAAACTACATAAACTATTTGGAAAAATACTTCTAAAGTAGAACTATTACATGTGAAGTGCTGAGCTACTTGGTTATTGTAAGCTTTAAGTTAAAAAAACATATCCATAATAACGTCGGAACCAACACATGAACATCTAGTCTTTAATAGCGATCATATGAACAGAAAGGAAAACAAAAAGTCAGAGTTGTGGTGTTTTGCCACACAATTGCAATGATACCTCGAATGTCGTAATATTGGGGGTAAGTGTCTGGCGATGTCGATAGGAGTAAGCCTTTTCACAAGTTATGGAAGTTCCTACGCACGGATCAGCCAGACTGTAAAAAAAATCATACAGATTCATTCATTTAAGGACAGATGATACAAAATGGATGCCTGGATTGGTATATATTTTTTGACCTATATTAGTTGTATATATGCGAATATCAAATTTCTAAAATATTAAGAAATTGTATACTTTCTACATGTTCAAAATTCTACCTTTATCCAACCATCCTTATTAATCTATACAACTTGTTATCACTTTATATCACATTATTTTGAAACATTGAAAAATTTAAATCTATACGGCTTAACTTATTCATTTTACATACATAAATATAAAAAATTTTGTATCATCTGTCCTTAAGGAAATAATATATATACATGTATGTCTAGAACCTGCTTGATTTTAATATTTGTAGTGTTAAACCATCATTACGATTTTAAAATAATCATTTTATGACGTAATGATTTATATTTTATGGTTCACTTACTAAAGCGGCGATGTTCGTGTGAATGGTAGAATGACCTTATCCATAGCTGTTCCTAACCCAAACTGAAAATCTGTTGTCAAGTTCTTTATTTCGTTTGCTGAAATGTAAGATATCATCATGAATAGAAATCAAAGAGTATACGGGAGTGACGAGATTACAAAACTATTTCTACTGCCATTGTGCCATTTTAGTACACGTGGATTAAAGTTTATTTTGTTTGACAGAAGTGGCAAATTTAAAAAAGGAACACCAGATAAAAAACACAAATACATTTAGCAGTGTTAGAGACATTTTTTTCTATCTTGGCTTAAAAGCAAACCAAACAGCAACACACTAAAAAATCAGACATGTAATTAAAGCACTGACGCTTTCTATTCAGTTGACAAGAGTTGGAATATCTATCCTTTAATCGATATTTTAAAAAAAAACATTATTTTTTTTAAACTATGTCATCTATGCTCAAATTACGGTTTTATCTTTTGTGCCATGAATTTCATGTCAGGCTAATTCTTTTTACATGGATATTTTCTTTTTCTTTCTCTCTATCGCCATCTTTCTTTGTATCTGATATTCCCCAGAATATAATGAATCAATTTTGAAATCCAGGAGATATTAGAGTGCAATCAGATATCAATGTTTAAAACCCCCTTGAAGAAAAAAAAATCGTTTTTCTCCTACATACAGGACTTTTTGTTCTCTAGTAATGAAGGTCACTTAACATCTAATTCATTACGTTTGCAATTAACATGTATTTCTATTCCTTTTTGGTAAGGTCACTTTTTGATCATCTTCCACACCATAACGAAAGCAAATGAACTTAAATTGGAAATTTCAAATTAATCAATATTATTGATTGATTCTAATCATATATTATTTTTGGTGTGAAGAAATGAAGTGAAAAAGAAAGGATTTCATATTTCATCATTTTTTTATGTACATCTGAACACAAATTACATTACAAATTTATTCTGTACATAAACAATAATGGCTGTATATTGTTTTACTTGTATATTTACGCAAACTTGTGACTAAATTCACATGAAGTTAAAAAAAATCAGTTGGTTTAAACATATTAGTACATGTATAAACATAAGGTTTAGAAACATGTTCTTAAAACTGATAGTTTTACTGTTGTGTTACTCACACAATCCGTCAACTGTATTGTGAGAATTTTCTAGAAAAGTATTTTCGTTTTAGAACTATATTTTTTACGAGAAAAAAAAACAAATATATTAGTAGAATAATTATTAATGTACAGTAAAACTGGCTTATAAGAAACCCTTAATATTAAAATATTAAAATATTCTGGCTATTAGGAGTAAAAAACTAATCATGCACGAAAATTATTTCAACACGTTTTTATAAATGCCAATAAAAAAACGGATGTATGGAATTAAAGCAATAGGTACAAAAAGACTTCCATAAAAGTAAATTTGCTTGTATAAAGGCAGATTTATAAAATACCGACAACATTAAAATTGGTACTTGGTAAAGTACGTACCAATCGCTTTGGCCAGAGATTTTAAGGAGCTTTGTAATTCCCTCATTGTGTAGGAAGGATCATTCAAGAAGTAAAGATCTAGCGGAAAGTTTCTTGCAATTTTATAGTACACCTGGAAGGTATTCAGCACCGTGTCTGAAAAAAATAAATAAAAATAAGCCTCCAAATATTAAATGATACTTTGAAATTGATCAAATTTGCTGAAGTTCCTTTTTCGCTAAGCATGCAATTCAAAACATTGTCTATTCATAACTACGTATTTTGACAATTGCAGAATGCAGTAGAAAAACAAGAGGCCCATGGGTCACATCGCTCACCTGAGCACATCGGCAAGGCAAAAGCACAAATCAGTTCAGTATTGAAAAGATTACGGGGGAAGGGGGGGGCTTGAATTTTAAACTACCTGATGATGCTTCCATGTCAATATACTAAATGGCTTTGTTGTACTTGAAAGGATTTTAAAAAAAAAATTCCCATGTATTCCTTTGTAAAAATTTGATCACCCATTGTGGCTCCTCCCTATGCCAGGGGTCATCATTTGAACAAACTTGAATCTACACTACCTGAGGATGCTTCCATATCAATATGACTAAACATAGCTTTTCTGTTCTTCAGAAGAAATTTTTTTCTATATGTAAAACTTTCGATCCTCCAATTGGGCCCCACCCTACCCTCGGGGGTCATCATTTGAACAAAATTGAATTTCCACTACCTGAGGATGCTTCCATATCAAAATGACTAAAACATGATTTTCATTTCTTGAGAAGATATTTTCCTATATGTTCCTATGTAAAATTTTCGATCCCCCATTATGGCCCATCCCTATCCCCTGGGGTCATCATTTTAACAAACTTGAATCTACACTACCTGAGGATGCTTCCATATCAAAATGACTAATCATGGCTTTGCAGTTCTTCATCAGAAGATATCTTCCTATATATTTCTATTTCAGACTTTTATCCTCCATTGTGGCCCCACTCTACCCCAGGGGGTCATGATTTGAACAAACTTGAATCTACACTACCTGAGGATACTTCCACATAAACATGATCAATCAGGGCTTTGTTGTTTCTGAGAAGAAGATGTTTAAAGATTTTTCCTATATATTTCTATTACAGACTTTGATCCTCCATTGTGGCCCCGCTCTACCCCCAGGGGGTCAGGATTTGAACAAACTTGAATCTACACTACCTGAGGATGCTTTCATATAAATATGACCAATTAGGGCTTTGCTGTTATTGAGAAGAAGATTTTTAAAGATTTTTCCTATATATTTCTATGTAAAACTTCGTTTGATCCTCCATTGTAGCCCTGCCCTACCCCCAGGGGTCATGATTTGGACAAACTTGAATCTACACTACCTGAGGATGCTTCCATATAAATATGACCAATTAGGGCTTTGCTGTTCTTGAGAAGAAGACTTTTAAAGATTTTTCCTATATATTTCTATGTAAAACTTTGATCCTCCATTGTGGCCCCACCCTACCCCATGGGGTCATGATTTGAACAAATTTGAATCTACACTACCTGAGGATGCTTCCATATAAATATGACTCATCATGGCTTTGCTGTTCTTGAGAAGAAGATTTTTAAAGGTTGTTCTTATATATTTCTATGTAAAACTTTGATCCTCCACTGTGGCCCCACCCTACCCCCGGGGGTCATGATTTGAACAAACTTGAATCAACACTACCTGAGGATGCTTCCACACGAGTTTCATCTTCCCTGGCTTTGTGGTTCTTGAGAAGAAGATTTTTAAAAGATGCTGTTAATTTTTCACTAATTCTTTATTATCTCCCCTTGAAAGAGGGCGTGGCCCTTTATTTGAACAAACTTGAATCCCCTTCACCCAAGGATACTTTGTGGCAAGTTTGGTTGAAATTGGCCCAGTGGTTCTTGAGAAGAAGTCGAAAATGTGAAAAGTTTACAGACGGACGGACAGACAGACAGACAGACAGACGGACAGACGGACTACAGACAAATTGTGATCAGAAAAGCTCACTTGAGCCTTCGGCTCAGGTGAGCTAAAAATAATAGAAACATCGTTTCAATACATGCATTTCAAGGTTGATGAGATTATACTTACTGAAAAGATAAAAATAAAGTTTTCAAACTAAAACAATTCGTTTCTTAATTGCATTCTATGTCAAATGACATTTCATTCTTAATTAATAAAAAGTCCAGGAATGTGTCCCTAATTTCAAAACTACATCCGACAGGTGTTATTATAAAGTCAAAGTATATCATTGAGGGCGTTAGCAAGATTCCAGTCCCCCAAGGCCAGGACTGTTTCCCGAGGCGAAGCAAGACAACTCCTGGGAGTTGTCTTGCTAACTCCCTCAATGATATACTTTTAACTGTTTTATTATACCGATACAAACGTAAAATTTAGAGGATTCAGATAGCGTGATTTCATAGCAGTGATTAGCTCACTGAACTAACACACGGGGAATAGTCCATTCACATATACCAATGTAAAAGTAAAATCTAGAGGATTTTTACGGATAACCGGGAATTAGCTTTTGATGCAGGGATTAGCTCACTTGACTAACGCACGGGGATTAGTCCATTCATAGCGATTTCTAGGGAATTAGTCACATCTAACGATCTAATGTTATATAGGGAAAAAATCAGTAGAGGTATAATAATATTTCTTAATGTGACAGAGAAAGATAAGGCTTTGAGTCTACTGCAATTTATAATTTATGCCAGGGTTCTTTTCTTTTCGAGTTTGATCCTTTGTGAAAGTTAAATTTTCAGAAGTTATCTTTCTTTGCCTATTCATTTATGTTAGGATAGAAACCTTCCCGACTATTTCGGGTCCCGTTATGCGGTATGACATACAAAATTAATTTAGTATCAAATATGATTTCCTGCACGTTGAAACAACTTACCAAATTTGAAAATTATATGACACTCCTTTAAAAATGAAATATATGGAGATAACGAACAGTATTCGAGCTCAAAAGTCCATTCAAACAATACAAATAAGGAGCAGAGCAAACACCTCTAAAACATCAGAGGTGGGATCAGGTGCCATGGAGGAGTAAGCATCCCCTGCCTACCGGTTATACCCGCAGTGCGCTCCTTGTTATGATCGGGAAATAACAGAAAAATCCGTCGACAATTCAGTGGGTAAATAATGACCTAACAATTAGTATAAAAAACGTCAGTCAGCATTTGACTTAATGATGGATTGTATTTGCTGACAAGGTTATTGTATCGACCATAGAACTTACGAAATGATGACTTTAAACGAGACAGTTGATATTCTTGTTTCATCAACTTGTTTGTCAATAACTTACCTCGTTTTAGAAATTGTTCATACACAGAGTTATTAGGATACAACAGACAAATTCTGGATATATAGAACAACAGACGGACAAATAGACAGACATATAAAATGATAACTATTGGGCATCCGCAAATCCTGCGGACCCCTATGTCGAAAGTTCCTCCTATTAATTTTTACAATTATTTTTTAACTAAATCAGCAGTCAAACTTACTGGGGACCAGTTTAATTTTGACGTGTTGTGGTTTGATCTGAATAGAATCCTGGCCCGGTCCTCCATCAGAGAAATCATTGTCCTGAAAAGAAAAAAATGTACAAAATAGAAATAAACACGAAATTATTGGATAGCTCGGATGCTTAATAATAACTAATATCCTTCTATTTATCGCCATTGCAAAATACTTCAGAAGAAAATATATATATAAACAATTCTCTCGCTACTAGCCCGAAAAGAAACCCATACATCATGTATTCATATAAGGGAGCTCGCATTTTATATATTAATAGCTTTATTATTTTTATTATTTGCGCAGCAAAATAAAAAAAAAAACATGGAAGTAAATTCTTTACTTTTTATAGCCATTTGTGGATAAGATTCTTGCTTTCCACCAATGATTGAATATCAGTGTTTAAGTACCTTCTAATTTATCTCTAGTTTAAACAAGGTTCCTTCTACATCTCTTTAATATATAGGCACTATTCCTGAACACACCAATTGGACACGATGCAAGGCTCTTTATTACATCCGCGATGGGTTAGCAGGAGGGTGAAATTTATAACTGTAGTTAAATACCGAAACTATGCCTCCAGTATAAATATATAAATTCAACAATACTATTACATTTCTTCTTTTATAACTTCCCTTTATTCTCTGTGTTTATATTCATATTCTTCGCGTACTACCTACATAGTATTTAGAAATGAGCAATTTAATATCTGTATGTCTCGTTGTTCTTTATCTTTCCATATCTTGGGTGTTGTGCTATTGTTTATATACTTATTTCCATAGCAATACACTATATATCTATCTCTTGCACATCCTAGTATACCATGGATCTATTTTTATTTTATTACACATTCTATAATTTACCATATTTATATACCATTAACTTTTCTCTGTCTACCCTGTGATACATTTTAATAACTTGCATGCATATAATTAGGTCGTTTATCATAATTTTATTCTTTGAATATATTTCCGAATCGGAATGTATGAATCATGTTTTGTAGAAAAATGCTAATCTTTTTGTGGATGTACAATACATTGTACTGACTCAGTGAGTTAAATTATACCGTGTATACAATGTATGATATGACTTTATTTATACCGCTGTTGATATACAATATGTATTCTAAATCTATTTATAATAAGGTAACACTAAATGTAATCTAAACGTATTTAAATTTTGGTTATACAATATACATGACCCTCATATGAGTGAATTTCACATGTGGATCATATGAAAAAGAATTATGTGGCAAACGTGTCAGTATACTGCTCACATTTGTTTATATGTATGTTGTTAATGTACATCCACTCCAATATTCCTTTAGACTCAATTCATGGAATGGTTCAATATACTTTAATCAGATTATTGTTCAACTGGATAGTACATGTATCTTACAATATTGATTCAATAGTTGAAATGATGCCAGGTTTCCGTCAAAATTTCAACACTGATTCAAAGCCATAACAATTGACATTGATACAGTGGTTCTTCTGTTAAATTTGTTTTGGGCTAACAATGAAATATCCTGTTGATATAACTGGATGGGTATGTTTTCTGTGTAAAATGGACTGCTGCTGAAACATACATACCGTGATGAAATTTCTCTATTGACGAATTATACAAGTGAAACTTGTCTAATCCGGATGTTGTATAATCCAAAATCTTGCCTAATATGTAAACTGTTAAAAGTCCTTTCCAGTAAATTCATTTGTTAAAAATGTCTAATCCAAAATTTCTTTGGAAGGCCAATTTCTTTGGAAGGAGTGGTATCCGGATTGGACAAGTTTTACTGTATGTACCATTGCCTTAACAAAAATGATTTCTGTACTAACAATGAATTGCTGATGAAATATCAAACCTTAATGGATATGATTTCTGTATCAATCATGAATTGCTGATGAAATATAAACACATGTATCTATGGATATGATTTCTGTGTTTACAATGAATTGTTGAGGAAATAATCATACTTTAATGGATATGTTTTCTGTGTTAATAATAAATTGCTGATGAAATATACATACGTAATGGATATGATTTCTGTATTAATAATGAAATATACATACCTTGATTTGTAGATTTCTGTATTTACAGTGAATTACGCTGTTAATGTTATATATATACCTTGATGTATATGATTTCATGTTCTTTCCTAAGGACAATGCTTGGACAACCGTCCGAATTCAACTGGGCTTCCGTGGCACATCGTGTTTTTGTGAAATTCTATGAAAGAAAAAAGACTACTACAAGAAACTTCATTCAAACTTTATTGTCGTAATAATTGTGGGGGCATTTACTAGCAAATATTTTTAAATAAAAGTATCGCTGAGTATAAACACTCAGAAAATCTCAGAAATTGAAAGAATCTCTCTCTCTCTCTCTCTCTCTCTCTCTCTCTCTCTCTCTCTCTCTCTCCGTTCTTACCCTATCTTTACACCAGGCACATCCATCTGTTATAAGACATTCTCCGCATCGAGATCCTGAGCACTGGCTGTATGCTTGATCGACTGTATGAATAGATAGAAAGTAAAATATTGATACAAGCACAAATATTTTCAACAGGTTACATGTACTAAGGTATGTTTTATAAAATGCAAGAGGTCCAGAAATTTTGAAGGTCACCTCAGTATGTTTGTATCTCAAGTCATGACTAAATTATCCCCCACTTAACTTTGGACTCATACTTAGTACCAATGAACATTAATTATGCAATTAGATGGATACTCCTTCTTCATTATCACATTGCATGAGGTATCTTCGAGACGCCCAGGATTAAAGGTGACTTTTAAGGATACAAGAGGCCCATGTGTCTTGAAGGTCACCTGAGTATCATGGATATCCCAGGCTATGACCACTTTTGCACGTCCCGGAACTGGAAATCTGGACTCGTATAGCAAATATTTTTACTAGTTTGGTGGGGATTTTACAGTCATTATCATGTAGCTCGTCTCCTTGAAGTTCAGGAGTAAGGAAGATATAAGATATATACCTATAAAATATTTCAATATATGACCAACTCACCATGGGGCCTGACCCCTTAATCCAGTAAGGTTTTACCCTCGAAACAATTTTTAGAAGGCTAGCGAGTTCATATCTCATTTTACTCATACATACAGTTTACAAGATAACTGTCAAGAAGTTCATACTTCTAATGACTTTGTGAACTTCATTATATAACAACTTAACCTCATCCTTGGGACTGAGCACTGACTCAGGAGATATGATTGATTGATTGTTGCTTTACGTCCCATTCAAGATAAAGGAGATATGATTGATTGATTGGTTGGTTGATTGATTTAGTACATTCGAGACAGAGGAGATATGAAATGTGCTTATTCATGTATTAACTTTCAAAAGTTTGTCTTTGGGATTTTTCAGAACTGATGGAGAATTTTTAAATGATGTCTTTTCAATATATGATAAAGTTAGCCCTGTCTTGTGCCCAGAATCCACGGGGCAAGGAGTAGAGGGCTAACTCAGCGATCATATGCATCAACTAGGAATCCATGATAGAAAAGGGTTTTTTACAGATAAATGGATTTCTCAAAATTTATTCAACTTAATATCAACGTGTTACTTAAACTTGAACCCAGAAATCATGAACTGGACAATTTTAATGAAGTGGTAACTGTTCATTTACTGTAAACGTATTACATTTAGCTTTGTATTTTATTTGGCGCATTTGCTGGAAAGCAGTGTCGGCTAAATCATACATGTATATTGTTAAAATTCAATATATTTATATCATATTTAGCTTATACAGAAATTAGCTAAATCAACTCTAGGTATGATCAACTTTATAACCCTACCCTTAATCCCAACTTAAACCAAAGGGACAAGAATTTACAATTTTGGTAGAGGGTTAATTGCTAATTAAATTTAAAAAAAACAGTTTGTTTGACTGATCAGATGTCTATGTTAAAAGAAGAATTTCAAAGATATAATGATTTTTAATACATGCCAAACCTTCAAAACCAGGTGGCATGTATATAACAATATTGTATAGGGATAAATGCTAATTAAAATGGAAGCAGTTTAACTGCTATTTTTTCTTTAGTAAAGAAGATAGTTTTAAATATAATGAATTTTTAATATTTGAGAAACTTTTCTTTGGATGAAATACGGAGATAACGAACAGTATTCAAGTTCGAAAGTCCATTCAAACAATACAATTCAGGAGCAGAGCAACAGGAACCCCTAAAACATCAGAGGTTGATCAGGTACCATGGAGGAGTGAGCATCCTCTGCCGACCGCTCACACCCGCCGTGTGCTCCTTGTCATGATCGGGAAATTGATAAAATATGTAATTAATTCAGTGTGTAAATAATAGCCTAACAATTAGTATGAAAAAGGTCAGTCAGCATTTGACTTAAAAGTTACATAGTGAGTCAATATCGTGCGTTTCTTTTAAGATAATTGTATCATAAAGCTAAAGATTAATGAGAAATATGAATAAGGCGACGTTTTAATATCTCAACTGCACGATAAAAGCAAGAAAATACTGCAAAATGTAATTGCCGGAAAAAGAAAAGTTGTATTTATGACGTGATTGTTATCGTCAATGTCAAGGTCATGTGCCTTTTATTTTTAGTGGGTAACTTGAAAACAACATTGAATGAGCAATCAAAAGTGAGGAATAAGTTCTGAACATCTTTTTTTAAGATTATATAAAAATCCTCGGTCATCCAACATTTATATCTATTAAATTGAAACCATGGTAACTTCAACTTTTCTGCGCACGCGAACCTTAATGAGGAAGAAGTGAAGATATATTTTCGTGTTGGGACCAACTAAATTAATTATTTTTATTTTTCTCCACAAAAGTAGATTTTTTAGGTTCTGAAACGTGTGATTTTCTGAAACCTATTACTTTCATCAAGAGTTGAATAAAATTTGCATGTGTGTTGCAAAAATTCTACTTTTGTCAATTTTCCGTTTTTCCGTCTCGGTGTCTCTTTAATGATAGATTGTATTTGATGACAAGGTCATTGTATCGACCAAAGAACTTGCGAAATGATGACTTTAAACGAGATTGTTGATATTCTTGTTTCATCAACTTGTTTTTTTCAATAGCTTACCTCGTTTTAGAAATTGTTCGTGCGCATGCTCTTGCGTATCGAACCAAATGAGACATAAACCCCATATGCAGGTGATAAGGGTATATTGCTACATAAGTAAAGGGAGTTGACGATTGAAAAGTTGAAGTCGTCACGTTTATAATAAAGCTCGGTTGTAAGGTCTTTTTCTAGTAAAATATCCAAATATGAAATAGATGTGTCAGACTCTGTGGAATCTTTTATTTCAAGTTCACTGGGAAATATCCAGTAGACTTCTGAATGGAAATAACTATTGTCAATTTATAATACGTCGTCGATATATTTAAATGTCGAGTTGAAGGTCACAGCGAGTGTTTTCTTATTCTCAAGATTTTGAATAAATTCTGCTTCATATGAATACAAAAATAGGTCTGCCAATAACAGGGAGCAATCGGTACCAACTGCAGATAGTTGGAAGACCTGGTCTCCAAAAACTACATACCGGTAGATATTGCCAATCAGAAACTCAAGCATCTTTTTAATGTCAACTTCAGAGTATCTGTGTGTACAATCAGAATGTTTTTTTAACAAAATAATTTTGCAAAATAACCAATGACAAGGTAAGTAAATATCCATTTTAATTGAAAACCAGCTGTCAATGATTTCAAAAAGCCTGGACTTTTACCGTGAGGAATGGTTGTATAAAATGTTGAAAAAGTAGTACATGTACGTTATGATGTTATTGATTTTGGTAAAATTTTGTGATTTCAAATTTTCTAAAAGTTCCTTTGAATTTTTTAATATCCACATCTGATTTACACCACTTCTCGAATATACATTGCTGTACAGTACTCCTGAAGTGGTGTTAATATTTAAGAGAGGAGTAAAGAGAGAGGCTTAGTAGAACATTTACTAGAACCGCTAAGTATCTTTGTAAGGATTTTTATGAAGTTTAGGAATCCAGCATATCTATGGTAATTCAAATTCATTTTGATTGTTGGTAATATCAAAAAATAAAAATATTTAAAACTTACATATGATTTTGAAAAATTTTGCTCCTTAGAAAGGGAACTATGAGTATAAGTTGGATTATCACTTGCAGAATTAAATCCAAGTTCCTCTAAAATCGGTTAAAATAATGAGTCTTACAACGAAGGCAATGTAGTTACCTGCTTTGTCAGCTGGGACCAATACATACTGATCGTTTACAGGTGTAGTCTATCTTATTCTTTTTCACTTCTGAATTATTGTACACAGAAGGATAGATGGTTTATTCTTTAAAATCTTGTATGATTGCACCTGTGTCAACTTGTCAGCTGGATGTTCAGAAGTAAAGAAAAAGATTTTCAAATTTGTTATGAATTTTCTGTATATGAGCAACTAAGCCAGGGGCCTTGTGACGGTACATATTGTCGTTTTGTACATATTGTCGTCGGCGACAATATGTACCTACCTTCATTGCACATATTGTCGTCCATCGGTACATATTGTCACCGGCGACAATATGTACCGAGACGAGCCATTTTTTCCTCCTGCGTAATGGACGACAAAATGTACAGTCACACATCAGCACATTTTGTCGTCGGCGACAATATGTATCATGAACATCTGCATTTTGTCGTCGATATATTGTGTTGAAGAATATTTACTAAGGTCGTGAAAAGAAAGGGAGAGAGAGATTGATAAACACATATACAGACATATAAAGTGTATGGCAGGAAAATGTGAGTTTTTCTGATCACATTTAGTCTGTCGCCCGTCTGTAAACTTTCACAATTTCAGTTTCTTCTCAAGAACTACTGGGCCAATTTTAACCAAACTTGCCATAAAGTATCCGTGGATACAGGGGATTTAAGCTTGTTCAAATGAAGGATTATGCTCTCTTTCAAGGGAAGTAATTAAGAATTAGTGAAAAGTTAGTGACATCTTTTAAAAATCTTTTCAAGAACCGTTGTGTCAGAAAATTGAAACTCATGTGAAAGCTTCATTATAAAATGAAAATTCAGTTTTATTCAGATCATGTCCCTCGGGGGAAGAGTGGGGCTACAATAGGTGATCAAAGTTTTTCATAGAAAATATAAGAAAGATGAATTTCAAAATCTTCTTCTCCAGAACTACTGGATTAGAAGACTTATGTGAAAGCTTCATTATAAAATGAAAACTCAGTTTTATTCAGATCATGTCCCTCGGGGAAGAGTGGGGCTACAATAGGTGATCAAAGTTTTTCACAGAAAATATAGGAAAGATGAATTTCAAAATCCTCTTCTCCAGAACTACTGGATTAGAAGACTTATGTGAAAGCTTCATTATAAAATGAAAACTCAGTTTTATTCAGATCATGTCCCTCGGGGAAGAGTGGGGCTACAATAGGTGATCAAAGTTTTTCACAGAAAAAATAGGAAAGATGAATTTCAAAATCCTCTTCTCCAGAACTACTGGATTAGAAGAGATGACTTATGTGAAAGCTTCA